TTCTAGACTCAATGAATTACTATAATGATTTTCCTAAATCCCCAAAATTCTATTACTTGTATATATTTTTTATATATATATTATTTTATTATTTAAGACTTTTTTTATAAAGGAGAGTAGGAGAAGAAAGGAGATCACCCTCCTTACCCTGATTATTCTTACGGTTCAATCATAAGAAACAAGTCTTCAAACTCTTTAGTAAAACGTGAACAAAATTTACATTTATTTACAAGACATTAGCAAACAGGATACAAAATATACAAATAAGATGGCACATAATTTCGTTTTTGTGCACTTTTGGTTAAGCATCTTACTTCAAGTGGCCTCCATTCAGATAAACACTATGTCTTTCATTTCATCAGGTCTTCCACTGATATGTTAATGCATCCTAGGTAAGATGATAAATTACATCCAGCAGCAAGGCCTATGATCAGGAAGTTTTGAGGAGCATAGTTCCTATGGTATTAAAACCTATTTTTACACTTTCATGGTGCTTTGACCCCAGTTTAGGAGTTAACTATTTACCCATAGCTGGGACCCTAACAGGTTCTACCACCTCGGATCAGGGTGTACCTGGTAACACTAGCAATTAAGAGGTAGTTCCACACTCCTCAAAACCTCCTGATTAGAGGCCTTGCTGTTGGACATAGTTTATTGTCTTAACCAGGATGCCGATGTAGATTATCATCATACCCAGGACAGGTCAACTGTTCTGATGAGCTTTTTTCCTTAGTGCTTCAAGTATATGAATTTAAGCATGCTACTAGATTGGCAACTAGGTATCACCATTTTACTGTTAAACTAACCCTCACTTCTTGAACTTCTCACCTGTGGAAGTTCATTCTGATTTCTGGCTTCTCTACCACTTACAATCTTCAACAATTTAAATGCAATGTCAATCGCCATCGTCTGTCATCCTGAACCCCATTCCTTTATAGTCCTCTCCTTACATCTCATCATTAAATTCTTCTTATTCTCTTTCACATCCTTGCATCGTAGTGGCATTATCATCTTGCTTGGGGTGAAATGATTAAAAAAAAATATTAAAAGATAACCAGTTCAAAAATTGAGACTTGGTCTCATAGAATCTTATATAAATTTGTTTTCAACAGAATTTTCATTTACATATTGTATTTTCAACAGTCGAAAATCTTTTGAGAAGTTACAACAATGCAATTCTTTTCAAATAGGTTCAAACAATATTGTGGCTGACTTCACCACATTAATTTAAATTTAATAAGAAAACAGGACTCACACAAGAAGAAGAATCATAAGACATTGTTGCACATAAAATATGTATATTAACAAGATGTACAATATCAAACAACAATGTGAAAGAAAACATGCATTTAAGTAAGAAAAGTTGAATTAATCAAGAGTTGTCTCCTTTTGATTGCAATTTAAGAGTTCAGTAAGAGATAATTATTTGGTTTAAATTTCACTGGATAAATGTTCATGGGTGTTTCATGATATGATTGTTCTTCTGATATTACTGTTGAAAAGTATTGTTGTGTCAAAAGAAGTTTTTAGTGAAGGTGTACAAATTATCATCAGCATGTTGGTGTGTCTGTGAGTGAGAGGGTTGGCACATGGTTAGAACTGGAGTTCCAACTGTCATAGATTCATTTATCAGTTGAGGTCTTACTAATTGAGATGTGAAAAATCTTGGCTTAAATAAGCAACTATAGGCTCCGATTCATTGCAAGGGAAAAATTATTCTTCACGTGCAAATGATCTGATTGGTTGGCATCAATCAATCAGCGAGCGAGCTTTGGGGAGACTTAAGGAAGCTTCTGTGAGCCACTTCTCCCAAAAGTGCACAAATTTGTCTACTTATAAAATAAAGCGATTCCAAAATTGTCACATCACTGCGATTTGGAAATTGCCTGTAGAAAATGTATTAGTGATTTATTAGCTAATGATCGTTTGGCATTGTACATGTGATTTTGTGTTTGTATGTATATGTTTGTGTATAAGTAGGTTTGCACAATATCTGTTCAAAAGCAATATACATACTTATTTGAAAGCTGAAACTAAGAAGGTTAGCAGATTCACCAAAGTCATTGGGACTTTTAGCAAATTTGTTCTCAAGAGGAACCACAATAATATTGAGATAAATCAAAATCCATATAATTTCAAAAATTTCTTATTTTTCTTTTAGTTTCTTTTTCTTTTTCTTCTGTTTCTATTTCTTTCTTTCTTTTGCTTCTTACTTCTTTCATAAGAAACACTCTATTACATCCAGTGGTGACAGTTAACATTCTTTCTTATTTAGGGCATCTTTCAAAAATTTGGCTTATGACCACCAAAATCCTTCTTTCTTTCTTTCTTCTAATTTTTCTAACCAACTCGACTTCTTATAACACAATAGGCTCCAGACTCAAGTCCCAAATTCTAATTTGCATGAAAAGAAGTCACCCTCTTCATTAGCTAAAAAATCCAAAAGTATATCTTTTTTTCTTTTTTTTTTTTTTTTGAAAACCAAATTTTACACAAATAACAAACTGTTTGCCTTATTTTCCTGGCTTTTGGTGAGCTATTCTGTCTTTAGAAGCTTAAAAAAAACAAATCTTATATATCAAATTTATTAATTATTTTTTAGTAACCATCCAAAACAAATGGGTGGTAGCACCTGTTAGGGTCCCAGCTATGGGCAAATAGTTAAACTCTGAACTGGGGTCAAAACTCTATGAAAGTGTAAAAATAGGTTTTAATACCAGGAATTCATTTTTGTAAAAAAATTATTAGCAATGAATTTTTGAGGAAAAAATTATTACCAGCAATACATTTTTGGAATAAAGAAAATATTACCAGTAATAAAAATTTTGTCAGCATTAAATAACTCATTGAGGTTGATATGCCATAAAACAAGCCAAACCAAACCAAAATTACTAGCCAAATACACAATTATACATACATGCATATATATATATATATATATATATATATATATATATAGAGAGAGAGAGAGAGAGAGAGATAGAAATACAAATTATATTACAGAAGTATAATTATATGTACAAATATACAGAAATAATTCTCTCTCCCTCTCTACACAAACACACACACAAGTAATTATATAATTATTATATACGCATACATATATATGTAATTTATTCCTATAAAAAAAACACTGTCATCCATACATAATAAGAATAATATTGTTAGTTAAGAAGCTCATAGACTTGTTTGTATGGAATGTTAAATATTTGAAATGGATTTTAGAGAGGGGGGAGGAAGAGGTTAAATTCTAATTCAACTTTTATTTTACATTAATTTTCATAAAAATTTTATATATTATTTTATTTTATTAATATATATATTTACACACCATATGTTAGGAAAAGAAATCACTGGTATGAATGCAAGAAGAATATTATAAAAAGCTTAATCGCAGTGCCTTTTCAGTTTTCTTCAATGAAACCTGTATAAAAGAGAGATTGCTACCAAATACACAATTATACACAGATAGATAGATAGATAGATAGATTATTAATGTTTTTGCACATAGCTTCTTACGGATGGCTCAAAGAATCAATAATTCTAAAAACAACATGACTTCATAAATGAACTTGAAGGAAAAGAAAAAGAAAACAAATTAAAAATTGTTAGTGTAAAAGTAAAAAGAACTAAAAATAAACAAAATAAATTAAATGGTAAACATTAATGAACAATCAATTAAAATTAGAAATAAACAAAAATTTACAGATATATAGATAGATAGATAGATAGATAATGAACAGACTGAGATAGATAGATAGATAGATAGATAGATAGAAATAAAAAATTATATAAAATAAAAATTATATGTATAATTACAAAGGAATAATACAAAGTAATAGATACAATTATTTTTTAAAGATTTAAAAATTTTGTTGAAATATTTTTGTCTATTGTTGAATTAAAACATTGAATTAAAAGATGCATACATCCTTCTTTAATTATTGTGCACTGGCACTACAGAATCACAAAGAAAGAACTACCAAATAACAGAATCCACCTCACTTGAGGACTACCAACAGCAGCAACAAATAAAATGGATAGCACGTGTAAAACTCAAAGCAAAAGTAATGATATAATCAAGATGTTAACATTCCACACAAGTCTCTCTCTCTACACACAACACACACACACAAGTAATTATATAATTGTTAGATACACATGTAGATATGCATATATATGTAATTTATATTTCTCAAAAATTTTATATATTATTTTATTTTATTTATATATATTTACACACTGTATGTTGGAAAAAGAAATCACTTGTATGTATGCAAGAAAAATATAATAAAAAGCTTAATTGCAGTGCCTTGTCAGGCTTCTTCAATGAGACCTGTATAAAAGAGAGTTTACTACCCAAATACGAATTACACACATGCAGATAGATAGATAGATAGATAGATAGATAGATAGATAGAAATAAAATTATATATCTAATTACATAGGAAATACAAATACAGAAATAATTTTCTCTCTCCCTACACAAACAAACACACAAGTAATTATATAATTATTATATACACATGTAGACATACATATATATGTAATTTATTCCTATAAAAATCCACTTTCACCCCTACATCATAACAATAAGTAATATTGTTAGTTAAGCAGAAGCTCATAGACATGTATGTATGCAATGTTAACATTTGAAAAGTATTTTAAAGAGGGAGGAGGAAGGGGAAGAGGAAGAGGTTAAATTCTCATTACGATTTTTTTTTTACTTTTTCTCCGGATGAGTGGGAGTGTAAAGTATGTACATCCTCTATTAAAAAAAAAAAAAAAAAAAAAAAAAAGTTTCTTGCTTCTCTTAAATTTAAATTAGTTCTTACAAATATCTTGTTATCGGCTTTATCTTGCGTGTTAATTACGGAGGGACTTGAATACAAATTGAACTGAAGCCGACAAAAGCTTCTTCCGGGTCAAATTAGAGAAGAAAACACGCACCTTCGTTGTTTTATTTACTCTTTGGAAATAAAAGAAGAATCACTGAAGAAATGTCGGCAACGAAACCTATTCCTCGGAGACCGCCGCCACCTGTTCCTAAAAGAGGTAAGTTTGTTGCGTAAGAAAGATTTCAAAACATTTCTTTAGTTTACTTTAAAAAGTACATTTTTGTAAGAAATCTAAATTAGTCATTGGTGTTTGTTAAAAAATAATGCTTATTTGAAATTTCGTATTCACTTTTTAAAAACCCAATAAATACCCCGTTTGTTTGAATGTACAATTTCTGAAAACTTGATTTTAAAATCTTTTAGCATAAATAAATGTTACTTATTTTTTAGAGTTAAACAATCGTCAAAACGGAAATAAACTTTACTGGACTATTTTTAAAGTATGGATATCTAAAATCGTAACCAGGATTTATTTTAGTGTAGTGTAAAACTGTAAAATTATTCAAGGTAAAACTAAAAAGAATTACTCTTTTTTTTTTTTCTTTTAGTAAGTTTTATGACGACATCTAGAAATGTTTATTTCTAATTTTATTTGATTGTTCATTAATGTTTGTTTACCATTTAATTTACTTTGTTTATTTCTTTTTACTGTAAGTGTAACAGTAACAATTTTTAATGTTTTCTTTTTCTTTTCCTTCAAGTTCATTTATGAAGTCATGTTGTTTTTAGAATTATTGATTCTTTGAGCCATCCGTAAGAAACTATGTGCAAACATTAATAATCGATGTGACTGTTCTTAAACTTTAAATATTTAAAATTTAAGCATTTAATTAAAATATTTATAATTAAAGTAGGTATTGTAAAAAGACTTTTTTATTTTAAGTAATCAGATCAGTTACTAATTTTATTATTTTCACTTCCAAAACTACACACACATTGCTTTGATTTTGCGTTTATATTTCAGTTTCACGAATAATTTTTTTTTAAAGTTTAGATAATTCAATTACAATCTTCATTAATTAACAAAAAAGTACGTATTTCATATTCAGTTGATGAAAAACTAGTGTAGTGTACAATATCACTTTCTTTGGAACACTTAAAAAAAAATATAATGTAAAAGTAAAACTCATTTTTTTTATACAGTTATTTTGATTTCTTTTTCTTTCTAACAAAAACTTTTTTAATTAATAACTGTATTATTTTTTTGTCCGATTACAAAGAAAACGAATGAAACTGAAAGTGAATCATCAAAAAGTTTGTTTTTTTTTTCTTTTAGCCTTGACCTTTCTTTTTAAAGGTGGTTTGACTATTTCAGTTTTACTTTTAATCGCCTGTTTAAAAGGCACAGTGTTTCTGTTTATTCGTCTGGTTTTTTATTGACTCATAATGTTGAATTTTTCAATAAAACTTTTCCTTTCTGATGATGGGCTGACCAAAATGGCCACGTTTGATTATTTATTTAAAAATGGCATTAATTTCCTTTTCCCCCTCATTAATCTCTAATTATTTCTGCTTTTTTTTATTTAGATGTTATCGGATTAAGGTTAAGGTTTAAGCTGATTTTAGCAACATTCTTCTTAACTCGCATACAAAACAAAACTGTGTGGGGACAGACAAACGATGTCATGTCATGACTACTAATTAAATTTTGAAATTAATCATTCTTTTCGTTTAGTCAATCAAATGGTTGAAGAAAGTATTCTTGTTTTCCTAAGAAAGCAAGTCTGCTAAAAAAAAAGTTTTCAAGCACTCCCTTCCCGAAATTTCCCATTACGATGTAAAACTCTTCTTAGTCTTGACTTCGTCCGTATAGTTTTTTTTTTTTTTTTTTTTTCAGGTCGTATTTTTGGTCTCTCAGTAGAAACCAAGTGATGGCAAGTCATTCACTACCAGCCTTCCCTACGGTATTCTTGCCAGTTTTGAAAACTTTGAAGTTTTTAAAAATTTTTTTTTTTTTTTTAGGCTAACTAACAGTAACACTAAACAGCTAAAATACGTTTGAACCAAAATATACAATTTCGCAAATCTAAACAAAATTTTAATTTCATGTTAAGTTTGAAATTGAATTAATTAAATAAAAGTAAAAACTATATCAGAATTGAAAAGAAAGTATGAACAGAAAGGAAAAGTTTTAAAATAATGAAATGCTCAAGGATAAGATTTTTTTTTTCAAATGTGGTTAAGTTAAAAACTGAAAGAAACAGACTTTTGGTAAATTTGCAGATAATGCTCCACTGACAAATTATCGAGGCCAGTAACTTTCGCGCAGTAAGCGAGGTTAACTGGGACCCCCCCCCAATTGTCAGTCTCTCCAAAGCGTAGACTTCCGCCAATTTTTAATGCAATTTTTTTTTTTTTTTTTTTTTTTTTCCAAGTTTGTGCTGGGGTCACTTAGGTGTTTCAGACGATACTCGCAAACATAAATAATAAAAAATAAACACAATGATCTGACACTGGTCAAGGCAAAACAAGAACAAAGAATACAGACAAAAATATACCAAAGTTTATTACTGGCAAATAATACAATTCAAAGAAATGCAGATACTAAAAAACGTCTTGTGGGGAAAACCAGTAACAAGAAATTTTTTTTAGTAGCGCTAAAAATAAATCCGGGAAAACAGTTTCTGTAGCACTGATGAGGAGACCATAATGATTGGATTACACTGAATCGGTTGGAATGCACAGCTACAGAAGATGACCAGAAGAGATGGTCAGATGGTGTGCGCAGAAGATAAGCTTGAACAGTAGGTATAGCGTAGAACCGTTGATATGCACAGAAGATATAGTCAATTTACCATCACATATTGAAAAAATATTACCAGCAATAAAAATCTTGCCAGCCTTAAATAACCCATTGAGGTTGATATGCCTTAAACCAAACCAAACTAAACCCACCAATAACCAAAGGGACAGCATCTGTTCCTTTAGTATTTAGTGGGATTTCTGTGGAAAGGGTGGACAAAAATTAAGTTTCTTGGGATGCATATTGCAAAGAATCTCTCTTGGACTAGGAAATGATCAAAAGTTACTTTGCGCAAACAAAAACCTGAGGTTGTGGAGAATGATCACTCCTGGTCCCGAAAGAACACGATATAAAAAAGAAAGTATCCAAATTTGTATCATGCAGCAATATTACATATCTGAGGATGTTTAGCATTTCAAATGACTTCTGCATACCAAATGTTGATTTACCTCCTTTACAGTTTCCTTAAATTTTTTTTTCAACTAGCTTCCTATTCTCCCATGGACTAGAAAATTATGGATAAAGAAATAGTGTCTGAAAAGATAATATAATTTATTTCAGTTTTATTTTTTCCATAATTACTTCAACTTTTGTGACCAATAAATCTCAAATATTTATTCCCTAAGTAAAAAAATCAAATTTTAATTTAATCTCTTTGAAAAAAAAATATACTAAATTTCAATTTACACAGCATGCTCACAGAAGTGAGAAAATGGTCCTTGTTTGGGCTCTTGGGAGCATTTTCCCATCAGGTTTCACATGCGGTTCTTTAGTTCAAGATGGGCTTCTTGACTATTTTGATTTTGTAGCATCATACAATTTTTTTTTTTTTTTTTTTTTTTGCTATTTCTCCAAACAATTTTTGCATAATGGCGAACTTTGAATTACCTAAGTTCAGTAATTTTGTAATTATCTGAATATTTATGGTTTAAAAAAATTTTTTTATTTTTCATGTTTCCAATTTTATAAACTTAGTAGACAGCCCCTGGGCTGAGTAATAAGTAGGAGGAAAAAGTATTATTCCAATGTCTTATTTCAAACTCTGTCAAATCTGTGCGTACATTAAATGGCACAAGCACATACAAGTCACTCATGCATAATACGGATACATACACCTGTATATTGCATATGCCCATACATAGTCATATGTAGACAGTGTGTGGTACTTTGTCCAGTCTATAGAACTAGAACTGTCAGGATAATCAAGTAACTATTATTCTCATTGAAAATGGAATTGGTGAACTGAGTTTGAATTATGACTAAAACTGCCCTAAAAGTACATTATTTACATTATTCAGACTATTGTCCTCATCTTTGTCACCATATTTATTACGTTTTGGCCATTGTACACTCTGGCCTTCTTCAGGTGGTTGGAATGTCGAACTGAACCCTTTATTTCGCTCACTGGGGTAGACAGTTCTAGTTCCACGTGCCATGTTTAATGGATGTCAGTTATCTCCTGTTAATTCCCCTCTGCAAGTTCTCCATTGGCTTAACATCAAGGACACATGGCACAGTGGATAAAGGCGTTAGTTAGATCCAGTGACAGGACCCAAAGAGTGAGTTCAATACCCAGTTAAGACAGTGCAAAAAGTAAATCTATATTCACACACACATAGCTATAAACAACACCTCATCAGGAAACTTATAAATAAAGCAATTTCCACACCTAGAGAAGACACCCTAACGTATAAAATTAAAAATAAATCCAAACACATCCCTCTAGTAACCACTTTCAGCACCTCTCTTCCATCTCACACTTATATACACATCACACACACTCCCAATGAACTAAAAGGTAACATACACTTAACATACACATCCCATTCCCAGCAACCAATAAAACTGTCAAAATGACCAAGGAGGGTATTCTTAAAGTCAGGAATCACCCATCCTCTATCTTAAAAACAACTTGAAAGAGGCCATTTGACCAACACAAGAACTGATCAATATTAACGATAAAAAAGAAACGAATGAAAACTACAGATAAAGTTCCGTTTCTTTAGAAACGGTCACTTACTCCTGTAGTTCACTGCTACTAACAAGCAGGAATTTTTTTTTTCTCCTGATGATGGCCATGCTGGTTGAAACTAGTCAAGGAATCTAATTGAAATAATAAAACCAAAAAAATATTAATATACAACCCAGTGTGTCTGAAAATTTTAATATTTTAATTGTTCAAAACACACACACAATCTCTTATATATATATATATATATATATATAAAAGAGCTAAGTCAATTATAATGTGGGCCACCCCCCACCCGAACCAGCTTCTGAGCAGTTACCATTGTAGAAGACCAGGGAGTGAAGATAAAAAGAAAACACGTGCGTTTATATTTCCTGCTAGAAGGTCCAGCTACAATATAAAAATGTCACTCGGATTTAGTCCAACTGAAGATAAGGAAGACAAA